TCYTAACACTCATGGGACCACATACATCAGTATGTATAAGGTCAAGCGTGCCTGTACATCTTTCAGGCTTAACGTTAAATGGTCATTTCGTCATTTTACCTTGAAGGCAAGGTTCATAGGTTGGAAGATCTTCTATAGTTAGAAAATCCAAAGGACCATTCTTTACCAACCTTGTGATATGATCTATATTGATGTGGCCAAGTCGGTAATGCCACAGGCACGTGGGATTAACTGTATCACGGGTTCTTTTCTTGGGGATATCATCTGACGTAGTTTCGGTTATGTTAGTTTTCAGAGAATGATGGAGAACATAGAGACCATTCTCAAGTTTTCCATATGCGAGGAATTTGTTATTTCTTTTAATTTTTAATAGTAATTATATTACTAAAGAGAACAAAATATCCATCCACACAATTTTGAAACAGAAATCAAATTTCTTCTCAAATTAGGTACATAAAGACAATCTTTCAGTACAATAATTCCTTCTCTGAAAATTAACACTTGCAAAAGTCCCCAAGTAAAGAGTCACCTCTCCGTCACTCAGTCTTCTGCTTGTCTTGAACCCCTATAGTGAGTTACACGCATGAGTCAAAGCCCTGGAGTCAATACACCAAGAAGCAGAAGTTACCAACAAATTGGTTTCTATGACAAAGGATTCGAAATTACCTTGTTTCTTGGACTCCATTACCTTGTTTCTTGGACTCCAGGTATTGAGAACAGTTCTTCTTCCAGTGGTCGGCCTGCTTGCAGAAGTGACAAGCATCTGATGCTTTGTCCTTCCTCTGCCTTTTGGACTTAATAGCTTTCTTTTGAGGCCTTTTCTTTGCCTTCCTCTTCTTCTAGCCCGATTTACCAGCTTCAACAAACATGGCAATGGGCTCATCCTTCTTGATTAGTTCCTCGGCCCTCTACAACATATTGTTGAGTTCCTGAATGCTAACATTTAGCTTATTCATGTTATAGTTCATGATGAACTGATTGAAGGAAGGAGGAAAAGAATTTAGGATGGCGTCAACCTTAGTGACATGATCAAGCCCGGATCCAAGAGCCTCAAGTTCATTGATGTATCCCATCATCTTAAGACAATAGTCATGAACTTGCTGGTTCTTGGACATCTGCGCGGTCATGAACTGTTTCAAGACCTTTTGACGAGTAGAACGATTCTACTCCTCATGCATCATCCTCAGACTGTCTAAGATATCCTTGGACAATTCGATCTGATCAAACTGTCGTTGTATAGGATTGTCTAAGGATGCTATGATGTAGCARCGGGCAAGGGAATTTTTCTCTTCCCACTCTTGATAGTCCCTCCTACGGGCCTCAGAAGCCCTATCACCCGGACGGTTTAAAGCAGGGTTTTTAACTACTTTGTCCAATTTTTCGGACATCAAGACAAGCATAAGGTTACGATACCAGTCAGCGTAACTTGGGCCCTTAAGTTTGTTGTCATCCAACAATTTTGCGAATTGTCCATTTGCCATTTCTGATTAAGGGCAAAGCAATTATTAGTCCACAACCTTATTTGATTCATGTTATCTACATAGATATGGTTTTTAATCTATATTCTATTTCCACTTATTCATCTATGAGATTTCCCTCCTATCTCAGTGACGGAAACTGCGAATTATGTCTCTGGAAATGTGGGAAATCACATACGGTGCATGGAGCCAACTGTTTTAGCTGCATAACCCCACCACCTTTCTGTGAAGGATCATATCCACTCATCTTATGAGCTTTCCCTTTGGCCTTTGTCAGACAAGGTTCATTGACATTTTAGGTTAAACATTTTTGTCCAGTGAGTGCTCACCCATCATATTCGTGAACGTCAAGGTACTATGAGAGAGTCTTCCATTTTAGGATAGGCCCCTCCCACATCGGTCTGTGATGCCCCTATCATCTTATGAAATAATCCAACAGATCCAGCAACAAATGGATAGCCCAATTTTATGGTGTGTTTCCTCATTACTGAAGGACCCATCTTCATGCTAATGATGGAAGGCCTTTAGAGAGTTCATCATATGAATCTCCCTATCACATGCACTCATATTTCAGTGGAGGGAACGAAATATTAAACCCTAGTTTAATTTAGGTCAAACCAAAGTGGCTCCCACTAACTTTCATAAAGCCAGATTTAGATGGGCCCTAAACGGTTAGGGTTCCGCACGGTTCCTCTTGGGGAGGAAGCTGGTGTGGCGCCCACCATGAAGGGAGATCATCCAATGATCTTAAGGACACCATGGCAATGATGTGCATTCAGCCATGGTGTGCGCAAGAGCCACTATCGAATCAGCATGGG